TAATTGCAGAAATGCCTCAGGAGTTTATACTCAGCTTACTGCTGCTATTCGTGCGAACGATTTGCGCTTGGAAAATTGATCTCTTCTACTCAGCTTCAGGTACCCATTTGTGCATTTTTCGATGCTACACTTTTGCTTTTTATGCATTTTTTGCTGTGTAACAGCAGTACAAAACGCATATTGTCACGGGATTGTCTGTGTTTGTTTGTTTGTGTGTGTGTGTGTGTGTGTGTGTGTGTGTCCGCAGCAACTTGTCCGCAACTTTCAACTCGGGAACGCAAAAGCTAGGAAAGCGCTGAATAGGGGAACGTTCCCCACCCACATGTGATCCCGCAAATTCAAATTCAGTCTTCCCGTGCCCGCGGGTAACACGTACGGCCCCGTGAAAGTTTTTTACGGATAAATTAATATCTCGAGAATCATGTAGTCTAGGAGGCTGAAATTTCAGGGTGATGATTCCCTACCCACGCTCAACCTTGCCTATTCAAATTCAGCCTTCCCGTACCCGCAGATAGCACGTGCAGCCCCGTGGAAATTCTTTACGGGCTATTTATTTTGCATGGGGGCCTCTTTTCTTTTTAGCCTTGATTCTATCTTTTGGACAAAAGTTTTTTGCTCGAATAAATTTGGAGAAATATATCGTAGAATGGAATTTTAGGAGCTTAAAAGTCACTAACTGCATCTGGAATATTGGATCTCGGTGCTTAGTAAATTTGAACTGCATAAGTGCAGAAGCTTAAAAGTTGTTAACTAAACTTTTGGCTTATTTGTGGTCATTTATGACATGCTTTAAACAGACTTTCATGAGGGGAAGGGCATCTTAAGCTCTTCAGAAGTCGATTTGCGATGTTTTCAAATTCTCGTAGATTTGTTAAAATAAAATTACCGTTTTGCTACTTGAAAATATTGGGACCGTCATCCTTTCTGATTTATCCAACTGTGTTATTCCTCTCCTCGCCAACACCTTTCGTCTGTAGTCTTGGGCTGCCTGATTCCTGAATAACATGGAAAATAATTTTCTTTTTTCTTTTTTTTAAAGTGCAAAACCATTCGAAAGACCAACAGAGGTCGGGATCTCGTCTGGGAAATAATCACAGCGGCGATTCCAGTGTAATGGTGGAGGAAGTTTTGTTTGTAGTCATGGCTTGGCTACGTCCTGAATAACACAGAATGTAATTTTCTTTCTTTTTTTTTAAGTGTAAAACCACTCGAAGGACCAACAGAGGTCGAGATCTTGTCTGAAGGAACGTCGGGACGGTGTAGTTTCCAGTGTAATGATGGTGGAAGCGCTTTTTTTTAATCAGATTCTGGTGTAGAGGTGAGGGTTCGCATCGAATTTGACTTCTGTGGCATTCATCTTTTTATTATAATGTCGCCCTAATCACAGTTACCCCATTTTGCAGCAACAGATATTTTTGAGCCACTCGGATTCATCACAGTTGAGCGGGCATTTGATGGCAATTATACGGCCAGCTTCGAGCCACTGGTTGATTCGAAGAAATTTCGAAGTGATATCCGAGAAGCGGGTAAAAATGGTTGGCTTTATCGTGTCCGAGCTGGAACTGATGGATCAGTGCAAGGCTACAACGAACCGGTTGGTCTTCGATCCCTCTTACTGGGACTCATTTCTTGCTGGGGCGTATACAGACACCTGGTCCGGTTTATTTTCAATATGGGAAAGCGGCTTTGCACAATACGACTGCCATTTCATTACAATTTTTATGCGTTTTTGCATACTTATGCAAATGCAAAAATGCATATTGCGACAACAGATGGTATTTACGTGTGTGTGTGTTTGTGTGTGTGTGCATATGTGTATATGTGTGTGTGTGTGTGTGTGTGTGTGTGTGTGTGCATATGTGTATGTTTGTGTGTGTGTG